CAAATAGGTATGTAAGGGTAACTTTTATATGGACCTATGACTGTATTTCACTAAATGTTTTGTTTGAACCTGAATATTAAATTGGTTTTTAGTTATTTTAACTATGAATTTATTTTAATACCAGCTCGTGGAACGCTTTATAATCTCCAAGCCCGTTTTTGGATCGAAAAGTAACAGGTGTGATGTAAATTATTCATCAACAGCCTATAAATGCCCACTGCTGAGCAAAGCCTCATCTCACACGGAGAAGGTTTGATCATTAATCACCACGCTTGCTCATTGCGGGTTGGCGATTTAAAACGTATAATTAGAAATTATAAGTCCAGATTTCCTCACGATGTTTTTCCTTCACCGTTTGTCAGTGGTGTCTAAATAATCTTAGAAAGTACATATAACTCGGAAAAAGTCACATTGGTAGGTACTTGCCGTTGGTAGGTTTCGAACCCGCATCCTCATGCATGAGAAGCGGGCATCTTAAACCTCCGAGCCACCACGACTATTACGTAATACTTATCAATTACACTACACAAGACAATTGACGTGTTGGCCCGAAGGTTAAGACTTGAGTCATACACTAGAGGTTAAGCTTCTCATGCATGAAGTTTGGTTCATGGGTTCAAAACGTACCAACCAGCAAGTACCTATGTGACATTTTCAGAATTATATGTAAGATTTTCAGAATTTTAAGATTATTAAATAATATCCTTCACCGTTTGTCAGTGGTGTCTAAAATTGAGACACCGATGACGGTGATGGAAAGTATCGTTGAAATTGCCAACTCGCAATGACCAAGCGTGGTGATTAATGCTCAAACCTTTTCCTTGTGAGAAGAGGCTTTGCTTAAAAGTGGGCACTTGTAGGCTGTTCATGATGATGATATCGTTAAACAAACCGCTCTATGTAGCCAACCAGATGCGCTGATTGGCCTGTTCCAATCAACCAACCAATCAGATCCCTGACCTCATAAAATGTTAAACAAGCTGGTGCTAAGCCCTCAGTTTGTAAAAATCCAAGCGCAGTACAATGTTTCTCGAATTATCAACGTGGTACGAGGTTGCGTTAAAAACATATTACAATTGTCCCGGATTAAAAATACACTGAAATTTTGTAGCAGCATTCTTGCGTGTATAAAAATACAAACGCAAAAACAAGAACTCGGTTTTTGTTTTCAGTTTTGTACCTAATTTGGGGTTTTACACGTTATTTTATGTTGTTTTTTTTTAACTGCCTCATTGGCTGAGTGGTCACAAGTGCGACTGCCGGTCATTGGTTCTCGGTTTCAATTCCCGGGTCGGGCCAAGTATTGTTTGGTTTGTAAAAACATCAGTAGTAGCACAGAGTCTGAATATGTGGCCGGTATGAGGCAATAGGCTCACCCCCTATTACATGGAAATCATAACATAAATAGTGAAAAATGGGTGTTACATTATACAGTGGCATTAACTGCTGTAATGTATACCTCTGCCTACCCCTTCGGGGATAAAAGGCGTGATATTATGTTATGTTTATTTTTTATTTGACTGCCTCGTTGGCCGAGTGGTCGCAAGTGCGACTGCCGGGCTAGGGGTCTCGGGTTCGATTCCCTAGTCGGGCAAAGTATTACTGGGTTTTAAAAAAAAAACTCAGTCGTAGCACGGAGTCTGGAATTGTGCCCGGTATATGGCAATAGGCTCACCCCCTATTACATGGGACTCGTAACATAAATAGTGAAAAGTGGGTGTTACATTGTACAGTGGCATAATGTGCACCTCTGCCTACCCCTTCGGGATAAAAGGCGTGATGTTATGTTATATGTTATGTTATTTTTTATTTGAATGGAAAATAATTATTATAAAAATATATTTTACTAGCTTCTGTCAGTATTTTCAGCGTCCACGTCTATAGCCGTTTTGATGTGAAGGAGTAACGAACACAAACATACAGACTTTCATATTTTTAATATTAATAATATTTTACCGTAGAAAAACGATACCCTAGTAAAATCCAGATCGGCTGCTATACTCGTTGGCAGTATAAAGCCTACGTTAATATCTTTATGTTAGGGTCCATTGTCCACACACGCTTTCGTTAATATTGACGATTGCAAGACGAATGCTTGCATTTTACGTTAAAACAATGAAATCAGTGTTCATAAAGCGGCAACTTGGCGCCAGTCATACAAGTTCGCCTATCGTCCTTTGTAGGTCGCATGCATTCGTCAAATGCCGCGTCGTGGACAGTGGGTCTAACAGAAGTTACAGCTGACATTAAAGACGAGAACTAAATCAGTAGCTACGCAATAACTTCGAAGTTTTCATTAAAAAACTCATCACTGACAATTATATCTTTACTTATGGTGTCTGAGTTTTAATTAACGATTCATTCACGGTTCTTATCTATACCGTCAAGCGAATGCCTTTAAACGTTTCTTAAGTCACGCTGCAAAAATGTATAGAATATACAAGATTTGTTTGCGTAAGTATTAACACTCATTTTATTTATCTACTACCTTCTGCCAGCGGCTTCGCCCACGTTTCCAGGGTTAAAAAGTAGCATATTTGTTACTTCAAACCATACTCTACCTCTATTCCAAATTTTGTCTTGGTCTCTTCAGCCGGTTTGATGGGACTGAGTAACAAACATATACAAACTCACATATTTCCACATTTGTAATATACAGTCACAGCGTAAAGTCCACTGCGGACAACCTGACATTCGACAAACATATATTAGGGTAGTTTCCTAAATGTCCGTCTTGTACATTAATTTAAAACTTTAGACACGTATTTTTTTTCTCACAAAATTAAATACTTTCGACGATATATTAATTTGAAATATCGTGTGACGTCACAGCGTGCCACATTTTGTAGCACGTTATGACGTAACGACCTCCTACTCCTAAACTTAGCGCCATTTTATCTAAGTATTGCAACTTAATACGAGAAAATAAAAAATGCGTGTCTAATATTTTTTCATTATCTAACTGACGGACTAATTAAATTTTTAATTTTGATACCCTGGAAACTATCTATTTGCGTTTAATACAATAACTTTATCTAGGGATTGAGCCGCACAATTAGGTTTGTTTTTTCGTGTATATACTTTTTCGGGATAAAATGGTTGCAGTGTTGTGCTCAAAATACTAAAGTATAATCATACGAAGTTTCATTACAATCGGACCGGTAATTATTTCGTAATTCGTAAACAGACAGATAAACAGTCAGACAGACAAAACATTCTTCTATCCAAGAATACCCCTGACTATTATTTTTTTTACGCCTACCTATGAGCAACGTGGTCACTGGGGACATACCCAAGTTCTTACTTTAGTAATGTGTAAATGTTTGTTACAGAATCAGTAATAGTAATAATAACATGCAGTGCATTGTCACAACTCATACCTGGACACACAGAACCTTTCATGGATCGACCCTGGTCTCCTACACCGAGCAAGACATTGCGTCAAGGGAAAGGGTAAAAACTGGCTTTAGATCTATTCATAGAAATGTTTACTAAAGTAGTGATGATTGGATGGCTTGGTTCTTATCATCATCACCTTCATCATTATCATCATCAGTAACCTTTTTAGTGAGGAAAATTATCCAGTGATTTCTCCTGCCTTGGAGGCGAAAGGGAGTGTTACAATCTCAATAACTAACAACCACCCAATTCTTATTCCTGTTTAGAACCGAAGACAATCTAACGAGTTATCGGTTGGTAACCGATTGACCGCAGGCTAGCCCGTATAAGTTTAATATTAGACTGTGGCACTGTGGCTAGGTTAGATACTTCCTAATAATTGATGTAAGTTCATCATTCTAGCCGTATATCATTCAGTCTACTGCTAAGCAAAATTCTGTTCTCGCACGGAGGAGATATTCCCACTTGTTTAAGGTGGATTGACAGTTTTGAACTTTTAATTAAGAATGATACTTCCTGGTTCGATCCTCTCGTACTGTTTTACTTCACTCTAGCTTCTACTCGCGAATTCGTAATAAAAGTAAAGGAAAAATAAAAGGAAAAGTATTCTATATCCGTCCCCTGGTTCTAAGCTACACATCCCCACAAATTTTTAGGTATCGATGTTTAATTTAAAACAATGGAAGATACATCAAAGTTGAACTATTAATAAGAATTGTTGAACTTAAATAAATTTCTTCTAACATTTTTGTATAGGTAGCTGTCCTTGTAACCATTACATTTTCAGTATTAATAGTAAACGACCAATTATATTATTAATACCTAAATAAACTTTTTACTTGTATGTATACTTTTTACCTATATTGGGCACACGTTCCGTGTTTTATTATTAATTCCGTGGTAGTTTTTTCCTTTTAGAGACCGTAAAATGTGGTCGCAGCTGGAATATAGCCAACTAGCCGGGTTTATACCTAAGTGCTATGTTTATTTTTGTGTAAGGTTGTATTCATGAGTATTTTGAGTAATTACAAGTTGTCTGTAAAAATGTTGATATTAATATGGTTTCCCAATTCGCGTAGTCTGCGTTATCACACCGCAAGTTATGGCTATATTTGATCAGTACAGCATGGCGGCGCAACCAGTTGCCACTTCCAACAACCTGTATTACAGCTCTATAGAGTTACTCACCTGGTGTCTGGATGGTTGGTGGTAGTGGTTACGCAGGGTGACGCGGTGAATCAAAGCCCTTTCATAGACCTAGCTCATAGTCCAGGCACCGTTTTGCTTTCATAATTTCAGAGCCACAAGCCGTCTACTACAGAATATAATAGATCTCTCCCAATAACTTGCAGATCAGCCGTTTTGGAGTAACTTGAACTATTTTATTTAATTATAAAAATATTTATTTAAAAAAAATAATTAGGTATTACCTAAGAATCTCTAATCATCTATCTCTGTCCTATGATTCAAAGAATTAAAAACGTTATCCTATCCTATGAATTAGTCGCGGAGAAACTAAAGGGTTACCGGGGCTCCGGCTCGAAGTGCAGGAGAAGGAACGGGGTGGTTTTTAGTCAGTAAGAGTCTGACACTCTCTCCCGCCTCATTTAGGCGGGAAGCAGTCATTCCAAAAATCCTATCAATTAGGTATATTTTTGAATGGTCGTAAACTAGAAACTTAGAAAATCTGTCACAATTTTGACACTCATCCACTAAATTATTATTATTATAACAAGATCAATAACATTATGATGTTCAGCTGATGTTTTTACCAAGGTCACTCTAAATGTAATTTTATCATCTTTAAATAAAAAGGCTATTTTAATCTGATACCAATACAAAATCACTTTAAACTTACTATTACTTTGCATATTATCAGATTTACTTTAGTTCTCACTGAATGAACAAAAAAAAATCGCATTCAAGATTACATCTAAAAACCCTCGACATTTTTAACTCCGAATGGGATCTGAAATAGACTTAGGGCACTGTGTCCAACTTTTCTTTAAGAAAATTCTTCGGGAAAACTTCACGTTCGGGCCTCTCCTTAATTTAGGTGACCTTAATCAGGAATTATTAAGAGGGCAACTGTTTTTTTTTACTTAAGATTAGCTATTCAATTAAGTATAATATGTGTCTTTATCAAATAGATATTTTTGATTAAATAACAATGGTTAATTTTAATTTGTACTGTTTTACATTTTTCTGTACTGGACAAACGACCTGGATACAGGTAGCTATAGAGAACAGAGAGTAAAGTTTCCTAAGAAAATGAGGAACCTCCGACCAGGCGAAGTGATCGTGCCTAGCGTGCTTTCTGCCCAACAGTTGTTCATAGGGGATTTTCTATCTCTGTTCATTCCCATGTAAACTGTTGATTCAATGTTTAACGTTTATTTACAATTTATTGTGCGATGTAGGATTTGTGTCGTCATCCGCTAATTTGTTTTTCGGTCGTCTATGTGTGATTGATGTCGTCTGTCATTTTGCACACAACTAGCCTATATTCAGCAGAAAACGACTGGCGGCTGATATGGTGCTGGTGTCGATGATCACCATCTAAGCCTTAACCAAGCCATGCTAGAAAATCTTTGCAAGACACATTGAAAACGGTCGTTGTAGGTAATAGTAATAAAGTTCACAATATTAATTGAAGATTAATTTTAAGGGGGTTTTGCTGTGCTTGGAAGAAACCAGACTACCACGATGCTGATGGTTCAGTCGCTGGTATAGTGGGTGAGGGTGATACAGTGGTGGGTTCAAAGGGCGGTTTAATCCTACTACGGTACTATTTTAATGATAAATGATATTTATTTGGTAACTGCCTTGTAGATCGAGTGATCATAAATGCGACATCTAAGAGTTTTATGCGGGCAAAGTATTATTGGATTGGATGTTTGTATTTGAATCACTATAAAGTTTATATTTGTATTTATGAAATTTAAAAATCATATAATGTGCTCGATTGCACTAAAATGGAACCGCGACGGTTTTTAACCGCCTAATTTTATGAAAAAGGAAACGTCTGTGGCCCTACATTAACCCATTGTTGGCTAGATACTCGTACACGCTGACTTAAGAGCGCGATTGCAGGCGCGGTCGCGAACTATCAAACATATGACACGGTATCCCGCTACTTGGCATCGCACCTGCGTTATGTACATAATTACTTCGATATCGTATCATGTTTAATATTTCACAGCCGCGGTCACGGTCGCGTATCAGCGTGTCAGTTAGCGTGGACAAGGACAAGATTATGCATACCTAATCGTTCCTTAACAGTTCCAGAATCAACACTGCAGATGTGAACCATCGCTCGGAGCAAACGGAACCACCTCCAAGAAGGGACTGTGTCTGCTCTAAGATTTACGATCCAGTCTGTGCATCAAATAACGAGTCATATTTCAACTTATGTTTTTTAGAATGCAAAGTACCGAGAAGTGAAAATATCAGTGTTGTCCACCAAGGAAACTGCATACCATTTTAAACTGTCAAACACCAAGCGGTCACCGGTGACCGCAACCTATTGTTCTATAATTGTGTCTACAAAACCGGTACTCGACGAGTTGAAGTTAGACGTAATTAGGAATCGGTAAATTAAATACATTGATTGTGTTTCGTTTTATTGTTTGAACCTTTGTTGATTATTATGATATTATGACAATGTTTAATGATATTTTCTCAGAAGAAATTATGATTATACATACCTGTTATTGTGTCCAAATTATTTACCTATTTTTGTGTAACCTAAGGAATGTGACAGTTAGTTAAGGATGCATGCATTCGTTAAATGACACGACGTGGACAGCTACCCTAACAAAATGTAGAAACGAGTAAAAATAATACTTAGTCAACAAACACGGAGCTCTTATCCATTAAAATGAAAACCACAGAGAATATAATTTTTAATTCACGTTAATATTAAAACCTCACAAGTTTTTCATGCAATTTAACTTTAACGGAGTTAAAAACTGCATTATTCAGTTTTGTGGGCGAGACGGGACGTAGGAACACCTTTATTTTATTCCCTTCAAATGTTCGTTAGACGTTGGTGTTAGCCGTTTCAATTTACTTAATTAGATTTTATTCCTAAAAGTTGTAAAAAGTGGAGGGATTCTCGCCAAATACGTCCAAAGTCCCATACGAAAACGACTCTTAACAAGACATTTTAGACATTTTTACTACTCGTATTAACTTAAACTATACGAGATAGAACAAAGAATTAAGTTAATGCTGATTTAATTTGGCTTTTCTAAAGTTAGGAATTCGGCTGGTTTCAAAGCCACTGTATGGCCTCATATTCTTGAAGAGCAATTCGAACACACGACGCATCGAACGTCGAGCAGCTTACTCGATAAAACAAAAAGAGTCACTACCACTCTTTAGGCATACTAATATTATAAAGAGGAAAGATTTGTACCTATTTTTGTATGTTTGTAATGAATAGTCTCATAAAGTACTGGGCCGCTTTAAAAATTATTTCACCAATAGAATGCTACATTCTTCCAATTTGACATAGGTTGCATTTCATTTTGAAAAAAATTAGGGGTCCTTGGTAAAATTTGAACAATGTAACCGAAGGTGTAGAAAAATGAGTCTTAAAATGTCTTTCGTCAAATGCGTTGCCGAAACTATTAGCGATAGAACAAAAGAATGTACAACAATATTGAAGAACATCATAATGTCTACAAATAACTCCGCGGTAGCATATGTCCAACTATTGTAGTTATGTCACTACAACAATCCAAATTTCCAAAAATAAATAATTGGCTACCCCGTGCGAAGCCGGGACGGGCTGCTAGTATATTTTTAAAGAGAGTAACGATGGAGTTCCTCCTCGTTCTGTTCCATTCGAATCTACAGTTAAGAACGAGCATCTAGCTCCACTGACGGGCAGACTGTCAGACTATTATTTATCTGTTGAAGTTTCAAAAGTATCTGTTAATGATTTAGGAGAAATAAATGCTTTGACGTTGACTTTAAAAATTATCACCACGAGAAAACACATAAAATAGTCAATGTAGTAGTTTTTAAAGTCCCACAATACCGAAGTAGTAACTCCATGGAAAGAAATGAGGTTGTGAACGAAAAAGTTTAAGACCCGAGACGACTTATTGCAATTGTAAGAATTTCTTTGTGTATGGATGGATATTGTTGTACCAACTTGGTTACTTAGAGTTGGTTTCCTAGCAGTTTGAGAAAAGAAGTTGTATCTTTGAAGTTTTAAGGACTTAGTTTGTGTAATAATGTTAGAAGTTGTTATGGTGAGAATTTTAACTAGCATCTGCCTGCGACTTCGTACGCATAATCCCGTTTTATTCCGTTCTCGTAGGATTTTCGGGATATATTTGGACATAGAGGGGTGGCGAGGAAGCTAGACTAGCCCACTATGTATAAGATATTATAGTACAGTAGTGTGTGCGCAAACACAGGTTTCACTCTCTGGAGTGAAAAAAACCGCCGAATTATAGAATGGTCATTCCGGAAATGTAAGTAGCACTTTTTGCTCGACGCGGCAATCAAACCCGCGACACTTTGCACAGCAGCCGGTCATCCAGTCGCCGCACTACACAGTTTGGTTTATATTCACTTATTGCAATATTCTAATAAAATACCGAGAAGTTATCCATAAAATGTCTCAATCAACACATTTCGATCTCTTAAATCGATTTCTAAGGGAGAATCGATTATCGAATCGCCTATAATCACATTATCCTTATCGTGAGACTTTGATTGTTTCCGTGACTCGAAATGATGGGAAATTAAGTTCGAATGCTCCCTGATTGGTCTTCTTGGTGTTTGTTGTATTTTATTATGTTTGCAATGCAACCTAAAGTATAGACGGCTCGTATCTATAAGTTGGTAGATAACCTAACCGTACACTACCTAATTATAGTTTTTGTTCCTTTTTATTTATTTTTATTATTATTTTGGTACTAACATAATCAATAAACTTATTCTTTCATCTTTCTATACATTGTTGACTAAATTACACGATTTCAAACCTTAAAAAACGAAGAAATATTTTTTTTGGCATAAGCCGGGAAATGAGCAGGCGTATCACCTGATAAGCAATCGGTGTCGCCTATTGGGGATTAAGAATTTAATGATTATTAGGGATTCAGGTAACGGGGAGATAATCATCAGACCACCACGGATAGGGCCCAATAGGGCTGATGCCGATACGGAGACGTGAAGAACGTAAAAGGTTACCGAGGCTCCGGCTCGAAGTGCAGGAGAAGAAACGGGGTGGTTTTAGTCAGTAAGAGTCTGACACTCCTTCCCGCCTCACCCAGGCAGATAAGGAGATTCGATGAATTTCCCCCCTTAAAAAATGGGATTGGGAAGATTGGGGAAAGGGAAGGGGAGGGTAATAGGGCCTCCGGTAACCTCACGCACACAACGCAACATAACGCAAGCGTTGTTTCACGTCAGATTTCTGTGAGGCCGTTGTACCACTCCGGTTGAGGCAGCTCATTTGAAGCGTCATGCTTCTCCCACACTTAAATAACATCAAAAACTTTACATTACAAGCCTTTTCTTATTTTCTAAAATATAGCAGCTAAAGTTCTAAAAGACCAACAATGTAACGCAGCTGCAGTGGCGACCGTAAAAAGGAGTTTGCACGTCCTTCATTCTGGGTTGGATTATAAGACAAAAGGGAACGTCATTAGCGGATACAAACGGTCCGAGCTGTAAATTAGTTGGCAGTTTTAAATTTTGCCACCATTTTTGCATTTCTCGCCGATAGACACTTATCATCCTTATTCTAACGAAACAGGGATGGTGAGGTGATATGAAAATTAAAAATTTGTTTAGTCCCATCAGAGAATAATAAAAAAAATAAACACATAGTTTTTTATTTTGTAATAAATAAATAACATCACGCTTTTACTCCCGATGGGGTGGCAGAGGTGCACATTACGGCACTTAAACTGTCAAACACCGCGAGGACACCGATGTCCGCACACTATTTTTCTTTAATTGTGTCTATAATCAAAGGGTTAATGCCACTGTACAATGTAACACCTAGTTTTCCCTGTTTATTTTATGAGTCCCATGTTTTTATTTTGTCCTACAAGAAAACAATACCTACATAGATAAAAATGAATCAAAGTTCAGGAGTGGCATAATGAATCCGTGTGATTCAATAATGTTCCAATGACGAAAACAGTTGTTTTACAATAAAAACACATTAATAAATACTTTTTAATAAAAAATACAAATTCCTTTTTGAACTATTTTGACATCACTAGAGAAATTATTGCAAACAAAAAAACACAAATTCATGTACGACTTATTCTGACTGCTGCACACAGGAAAATAAACTACAGGACATTTCTCACATGGTCGCTTTTTGTCTAAAGGTGGGAAAAGTGAATCGTAGGATTTAGTCGTTCCATAGACCAGATAGATAAACATCAGAAACGTAAGTGCATCTGTGGAAAATATTTAATTTTAAAACTCAACGTATCTGCACTGTAAAATTAAATCTGTCTAATTTCTGTTCAAATAATAAATAGGTTATAACAAAAACGATACAAACTTCACGGTAGACAAAAAAATATAGCAACAAGAGTCAAAAGACTGGCACAGGGGGTACTTTTAGAGGATTATGTAGGTTGCTTATGTGACGAAGTGCTTCATCGTAGATCGCATCATCGCTTACCGCTAGGCGTAATAGTGGTCAAACGTCGGCCCATCAAATATATATAAAAAAAATTACAGTGACTTATGTCATTGTAATTTAAAAACTATGGGACTTGGATTTTTTTTATATTTTTCTGATAACTGCTGGTACCATTTGAACGTCGACTTGAGGGACATTCTGTATCTGTGCTATCTCTAACTTTAAAAAAATACAGTACTTACTTATTATGACAAATCGGATACTAATGAAAGAGTTCATAATTGTTCAATTATGGAACTGTGTTCCCGAGATTACGCGTCACTCACTTAAGTAGTTGGAAGCAAAAGTCATGAAAAGGCGCAACTAGCTAATTATACTTGAACGATAAACATTTTAGTGCATTAGAACAACATTGCTTTTTATTTCCTTAATGAAGCAATACTCATAATGCAATTGTACATACGGCCACACATCAATCTATACATAACCAGTTTATCCTGGTATCGCGTCGCATCATCTTTTCGCACATTTAACGTTCAGTTTATACTGGTTATGTAAAGCTCGATGTGTAGCCGTGTGTACAATTTTTTTTACTAAATATTTTTATTTAGCTTGAACCGTTAATTCGTTTGTGTCAAATTTAGTGATTGAAATTTTACTATATTATTATGTTTATTAACTAACAGTACCCCCAACCTCGTCAGCGTTTTTCTAAAACAATCTGGGTGTTTTCAAGCCCCAAATGAATAGGTTGCTTATGAGTCGACATTTGCACGAATTGCTTTAATTATCAGAATTAAAGTACTATCTTTTATGTGGGAGAATAAAATATTTATTTATTGCGCTATCGTACACAAACGTGACAACTTATATCACACATTGAAGTGTGGGAGAGCCCCATGCTTCGGCATGAATGTGCCGGCTCGACCAAAGTGATACCGCGGCCTCACAGAAAACCGACGTGAAGCAACGCTTGCGTTGTGTATCGTCGTGTAAGTGAGGTTACTGGA